AAAGTGTCTCTGCGGATAACGCGAACTCGTTTTTAAGCTAGTTTAGTGGGAAAAATCACTCATTTGAAGGGAAATTTCGAGTTTTGAACCGATTTTTGAGCGTTTGGTGGACATTTGGCCAAATGAAGTCATGACAACAGCCATATTTCAGTTTCTAATGTATGCTACACTTAAGCTTATGTTCACAGCTAAAAAATTGGGCCAATACGATTCACCTATGATGTCCAGTTTTGAAGTTATGGCTTCCCAAGTGATGACATGCTTATTTTTTACACTATTTTGGCACTAATTATCACTTGAGCAGCCATAAGTGCCCTCGGAATAAATCGGAACTAGACAAAAAAAATTCTTTCAATTGAACTATTTTTTCAGAGGATGCTCAACTTAATTTGATTATTAGCTTTGAGGGTGCGTGAAGATCGTCAGAGCATGCTCAGCATCCTCTAGCACCCGTCTGATTACGGGCCTGAGCCGTTGTGCTGTCTCTTCACAACTGATTGGGGCTGACGTTGGAGACAACAGCTCTTTTGGCCAAAGGGTGAACATAATGCATACCGGGCAACGCAGCCAACTTCACGTTGGTTGTCACTTGGTTACTACTGCAACGCATTGACGTATGCTTGTGTTCGAAAAAAAACCAATTAAAATGAACTAAAACCAAATGAAAATTTATTCCAAATAATTTGAGAGATATATTTTTTAATAAAGTATAATTTCTACTTATATTCAACCAAGTTTTAGAGAAATCATAGTCTTTGTTTTGCTGCAACAAGACTTTGTTGTTTAGTCAGAACGAAAGTAGAAATTAATTGTGAACAATCCATTTCAAAGTCTTATTGCAGCGAAACCAACTCTATGATTTTTTTTTAATTTTGCCAAATATAAGTAGAAAAGGTATTCTTTTAGGAAATATGTTTTCTAATTTTTTTTTTGAATCTACTTTTCATTTGATTTTAGTTAACTTTAATCTGGTTATTTTTCAATCAGAAGCATACGTCAATCGCAACGCAAAGTGGCACAAGCTTGTACCATTTTTCGCATACACACGCGTATGAAAGCAACGATTGTATGCAGAAAATGGGACATGCTTGTGCCACTTTGCGTTACGACTGACTGTAGTTGGCCGGGCAACCGCTTTGGCGTGGCGCTGTCAACAATGTTGCCCCATTCATTCACACTTTGCTTTTGGCACAAATTCTGCTGGTTGCGTTGGCGCCGACCCCTCCGTGGGCGCTGTAGTGGTTGTTTGTTGCAATGCCGGTTCGATGCATGCATTGCCGGTTCCAACCGTTGGTTTCTCACTGTGCCACTGGAGTTTTTTGACATGAAATGGCCTCAGACCGCATTGTAACCACTTTTAATCAATTGCTCGTCGAAAATTGAGCGAATATGGCCTTTTGTGAGCCTTTCCAGCCAGTCGATGTGTATTTTTGGCAGCAATTTCATCGTAGAATGCGACTCTTCGTACAAATTCCGTTCATTGATGAATTACCTATGCCCAGAACTTCGAAATACGAATTTTCCCGGATATGTGGCATATGCCATTTTGTTGGTATGGTAGCCGGCTGCAAACGCTCAGTTTTTGGTAAAAGATTGTCGGGCTGATTTTTGAGAAATCGCGTTTGGTGTGAAATTTGAGGGGGTCGATTTTTCATAAAAATCGACTTTTTTCTTTTATATCACATAAACATTGGCATGTGTGTATGGAACTTTTGGAAGGTCTTCTCAAATAATTACGAGCTGAGTTTGCCCGATGGGTGTCTGAGTTGACCTAGTGTGCGAAATAAATACTTGAAAAAATCGTATACATGCAGGCTAGTGAAGCCATAGCCAGCTCTCCTGTAATGCAAATGTCAATCTGAGGACGGGTTTCGATGTGCCCCGACACAAGCTAGGCATATGCGTACCGAAATCTGTGGGGGTCAAAAAAATTCGTGGACACACATACACACACGGTAAAATGTCTTTGTTTCTTAGTGTTAGTGATTTTGTTGTCAAATTTCGTACCAACACAACCAAAGTTTTTTTTCAACGAAAAAAATTCTTCGTAGTAGTAAAAGAACTATTGTATAGATTCAAGAAACAAAATCACTAACACTAAGAAACAAAGACATTTTACCGTGTGTGTACGCACATCCAAATCGATACTTTCATAGAAAACCATGGTCAAACTGCCAATGCGCATAACTTTTTCCTTTTTGGACCAATCGGGGTGCTTAGATCGGTGTTAGAAAGGTGGCGAGAGGAGGGCTTCCTTTGGATACCTCAGACCACCTCCTGGGTGGCCCGTCCTTGCGATATAGGTATAGATTTGAAAATTTATCGAAATTTTGCAACCACTATATTTTTGACTAGAACACACCTAAGGCATGGGGGATATGGTGTTTCCGACTATTTGGGCCAAGACCTATCCAACGGTACCTATAACGCCGGGGCCCAAAAAGTGCCCTGAGAAAATAGCATACTTACTGTATATATACTCGTGACGCAAAAACTGGCATTTTTGACATTTGGCTTGAAATGCACAGTCTATGGTGCGTCACTTGTCGGACTACCGTCCTCCGTGATAAAATGAAATTCATAAATATAATTTATCGAGAAAATGGAACGGGTTAACTTGTTAAACAATTGGAATTGGTAGTATATTTTCCACGCGTTGCGTTCAACGAAACGCATAAATACACAATAGCGATTCTGCACACACAGAGTCGCTGTTTTTTCGTCATACACACACTTACGATGAGCTGCGCGGAGCGTGCATGCACATGTTTCGCTCACTTCTTTCTTTGAACACTCTTCGTGTCTCAACACAATGTCTGTGTGTGTATCGCTCATGCCGTCGTTTGTAAACGACGTCGATGAGCTGGGTGTGAAGAGTGTCGATCGAAAGAAAAGTGCGAAACATATAAATGCATGCATCGCGCAGCTCATTGACGTCGTTGAACGCAACGCGTGAAAAATATCTGTTATTTTCTTGCGATATTTTTATCCCATATGAATGAAAATATCCCATAGTAATCTATGCCAGATTTTCAACACTCCGGAATTCATCATCCGGATTTTGTCTCACCTAATTTTTGCTGTCCAGAATTCTTCATAACACCTTATTCCGCTTACCCATTCATTTGAAAAACACATGTATACTGAACCAGAAAAAAATCCGTACCGTTGTCCGTACTTTAGGTGTTTTTTTTTCAATTTTTTTGAAAGTAAAAGAAACAACACTGCGGTTTCTTGTCAGTTCCCATATAAAATAGCCCCGAAGCGCCAACTGGTGCTAGCAAGTAAACTAAAAGCACTTTATATGTACTTTTTCACTCTTCTGTTGACAAATTTGACATTGATTTTGACATTTTATTCGTAGTACACAGGCGGTAGCGTGCAAAGCACGACGCTGGCGAAGCAATTGTCTCGGGCGGCATTTTTTTGAGGGCGGCAAAATTGGTAAAATTGGAGTTTGCACTAGATAGAATTGAGTTTGAAAAGTGATGACCTTTTTTTTTTGCTCTTCAAATTTTGATGTTGGGGAGGCATTTTGATTTTGGGACGGCAATTTGCTTCGGGCGGCAAATTTCCTTTGCACGCCGCCGTACACAGGAAAATGATTCCAAGAGTCACGAAAAACCTGATCTTTTCTTGTTTGTACAACAGTAGATAGTTTGATTTTACACAAATATTGGTTCTCGACTAGTTAAGAAAATACTGATTTTGACCAAATAAGACGATGTGTCGATGTCTGTAGGAGACCGATTTCTCAACGGTCCAAAAATGCCTAGCTTCAACGTGCAAAATGAAAGGCCAGTTGAAGCGTTAAACAGTGTAGTTTCGGCCTGAGTGACAGCAAAAGCTAACTGAAAATATCTATTATTATTATTATTATTATTATTCTGCACCATACAGCGTTTCTTCGCCAGAGGTGGTTTATTTGGTATAAATATTTGGTTATATATTTACAAAATTTATAATGAATTCGTATTTTCAGTCTCTCCAAGTTCTATTTCTTCTAAAATAATCAGTTATTCTTTGCTTGACAGTGTTTGTGCTAACATTAAAATCAATTAAATAAGTTTTATATATTTTTGGAATAGTACTAGTATCACAATCATTCGTTTGATTTGGCTCTATGATATTAAAGTATTTATAAAATTCATTATATGTGATGAGCATGTAGTTAATTGGCTCAAACATTGAGTAGTTGTAGATTCTGGTCGGCAGCTCTAGGAATTCGGTGTTCCGTGTTCGGAGTCGTGGTGTTCTTAAGTTAATTTTCTCCATAATATGCTTCGACGATGTTTGGCCACAGATAACATTGTGTATGAAGCAAATTTGTGCGATTTTTCTTCGTTCTTCCAAGGTAATCTGGCTGGGCTCAGCGGCTGAATTCTATGCGTTACATCTTTGGGAATCTTATTTTTCGACGACGACGACGGCACATGAATGGAGAAGTGTTTCAAAAACGTGTTTTTTACGCATTTCATTATGATTTAAACTAATTGTACAAGAAACGTTTTCGAGACCAATTCCTTTACTTTCTCTTAGTACTATGTGTACGGGAAAGTAAAAAATGAAACCCTATGACCTTGTCTTTATTTCAAGATTGATTTTAATGTTAGTACAGAAGATACTGTCAAACAGAGAAAAACCGATTATTTTACAAGAATTAGAACCGAAGCAATAATGAATATATTATAATATTGTAAATATGCAACCAAATATTTATACCAAATAAACCACCTCTGGCGAAGAAACGCTGTATGGTGCAGGATAAAAATAATAAATTGAAAACAAAAAGCCTAAAGTACGGGTAACAGTACGGAAAAGTTCGGGATTTGAATGTAATTATTTTTATTTGCGATTACGGATTACTCAATACAATTCGTGTCGATGAGTCAAAACAGTTGCCAGTTCAGAGATTGTCAAACATAAAAAATATATAGATTTTGTACAAGACATGATTGGAAATACACTGAAAAGTCAACTTTTCATATATAGAAGACATATTTCTGTGAATTTTACATATATTTTATTTTCGTTATGAATTGGTTACATGAAAAATTTATTCTTCTACTGACAATTTCCCATTTTCTCTCGATCCAAACAAATTTTAGTCAAAAGATGAACTAAAATATTTCGTTTACCATTGTGAAGCTATATCAATTCTTTTTTGTTATCTCAGGTTCGGAAAACTTGGTACGATTATCCTTCAATTTACACCTGTAACTGATTCACTCCTTTTTTCCAAGGTCATTTTGATAATTTGCTTCTAAAACTCTAACGATTGTTATATTAAACGAATTCAGATTTCTACAAAAAGAACGTGAAATAAAACGGTATTCAAACCGCAAACGTTCGTTGCCACTTTTTTTTAATACGTTGAATTCTTTTCTTAAAGATTTCTCAAATAATCGTTGGAAACACAAACAGTATGAAAGAGCATCAGATTATAAGAAATGTAATAACTGTAACGCACTTTTTCCAACGTAAGATGATTCTAGTTTGTCTTGAATATTTTTCGACTTACAATCGCTGTATGTAGTCGCGTCGTGTAACAACAATAAGCTATTCGAAAATCGGCGGTTCTTATATCTTATTTCACTCCGAAAATAATGAATTTCGGTTCTCTGATTGATTGTATTATTATTGTCAACTGAAGAAAAAATGATAGTTTTAAAATTTCAAATTTTGAAATGAAAAAAAAGTATGGAAAATTTGAAAAAAGCTTATGAACTAATAATGAAAACGTCCCATTGTTATTTACGCATATTCAAAGTTCTAAAACTTTGACTTCAAGTAGATTGCACTTGAATCGTGTTCTGAGTAACCAGTACGTTTTGCTTGCTTGTAAATCTCGTTTATAGTTGCTGTGATTGGCAGTGGGTGATCCAGAGCTTCCGACATACCCAATGCTAGTCGAAGATCTTTCTGCATATGTGAAAGTGGTTGATGCGTTGGAAATTCACCTTTCACCATAACTGAAATGAAGTTTGAATTGATTTTCAATATGATGTAATTAAAACAATTATTCTTTTCTTCCATAGATGCTTCTTTCAGATTTAATGCTTTATTCGGAGACATTCCAAATACAAAGTCCAGTGCATTATAATCAGAGACAACCTATCGATCATAGTCTTGATTTTTGAATTAATACAAAAAATGTTTCTTTATTGTATGATGCTCTTCGTTAAAATTTTGATCGTATGTAAACTGAGCTCGAATCGTGCTCTGAGTAACCGGTACGTTTTGCATGTTTGTAAATCTCATTTGTTGTTGCTGTAATTGGTATGGGGTGGTCACACATTTCGGACATTGCTATTGCTAAACGAAGGTCTTTTTGAATGTGACCCAACGGTTGTTTTGTTGCAAAATTACCGTTTATCATTGCTGTCATGTGTCCAGTATAGAAAGAAATTTGGAAAGTGTGTATAAATCATAGTTAGAATTGAGAACGTTCATTCCATTCAAAGAAGGATTGAAATCGATTGAAATGTTGATGATAATGTAAATAAAACCGAACCAACATGCATAAAGATTGAACACAAAATGAAAAAATAGCAACTATTGAAAAAAAAGAAGCAACTTGAAAGAAAACAACTCAACGTCTATAAAATAAAAACGGTTATATCGACATAGCACATACCATTGCCTTTCTCAAGCATTAAATTTGATGAAATGTTTGTCAACTCCAATACTTCGAGTACGTCTTTCTGTTGCAAACCAGCTTTACTTGCTAAAAAATAGGATTGAATTAATTTTCAAAAATGAATCAATGATTTTTTTTTCTATATCGATCGATATTGAAATATATGCGACGCATTCTATATGACAAAATTAAATACATACCCAATGACAGTGCCTCGGCAACAGCTGCAATAGAAACACCAGCCAACATTTGTAGGATCAGATTCATTTTTGACGCATTGCCGACATCTCCAAGATAAAATGAATTTTTCCCCATTGCTTCAAAGCAAGTCTGACATTCTTCGAAAAGCGTTTGTTCGCCCGCGGCCAAAATTATCAAAGTACCCTCTTCAGCTTGGTTTTTGGAACCTTGGATCTAGTTAGAAAGAGAAAAATGTATGTCCGCTGCTATGAAATCCATACTGACAACAATATTCGACCTGCCTCTAGTGGTCATACACACAACACACGTTGAGCGGTCAATATATACACAAAATACTAGTACAGACACGCTAGCATGGGATTTATACGGCTTGCGCAAATGGCTACTTGATTATTGGCCATGCATACGCTTATGTGATTGAAATCTTCAACTATCACCACAAGCGTTTGTCAGTAGAGCTCGTCTTATGTTTACTTTGGAAATACGTGTTATTGTTTTTGTAGCTTCATCGCCGTGTGTATGTCGTAATTGAATGTTATATATATTAAAAATAGTACCTGAGCTTCCAGGTAACGGCCACCTTTCTGAATGATGCTGGTTGCAATATCTTGCGAAGTTTCTGCGTCTATGCTCGTCATTTCTACATAGCCCTTACCATCAATCATTGAACTTGACGATAAAACGCCACAATTCCCGAACACCATCTAATACCAGAACAAGTTCATGAAACTATTTTCTACTTGAAATTTCAAAAAAAAGTTATCACCTCTTTAGCAACCCATGGATCCGAAACACATGAGAACGTGATATCAACGTTGTCCACCACATCACACGGAGTTGGCATTATTTCTGCTCCAGCCTCTTCAAATTTACGACATTTTTCCAACGTACGATTCCACACGACTACCTTGTGACCTGAGTTCAATAAATTCTTTACAATACCGCCTCCCATAATACCCAAACCAAGAAAACCAAATCGCAACGGTGATGGATTGATGTTTTTCGATTTTAATGTTTCGGAAACAGCTTGCATGTTTATTTCCGGTAAGTCCTATAAAATGTAATAGATCATTTCGATATTTTTATATGAATTATATCAAAACAATGTTTATTCATTTACTCACAGGGCGTTGCACAAGAACTTGCGGCCGATTCAATAGCTGATTAACAGCATCATTTCGGCGGGGTGTTGCAAAACTAAGATTATGGTCACCGTCGAAATTGTGCTCACCAAGTGTATGTCGGCTACGTTTTGCAGTTGGGGCAACATCATTCTCATCTTTTAGCTTATTTTTGGTTGGAGCCAGTCGTGGTTTCGTTGGTTTATCCGATTTTTCCTGCATTATTTAAATTATGTCGGCAATTCCACACGAAATCAGGGAAGAGTTGTAATGGGCTTCGCTGAATTAGCTGAAAATTGGCTTGGAGTATTGTTTTCGATAGAAAATGAGAAAACCAAAATCTTAGGGCTTTAAGTGGCCCACATTTCTGAGTTCACCAAGTGAAAATTTTGCAAAAAATTGAAAAAATCGAAAAAAAAGGTTTGCGCCAACTGAAATCTAACTGTGAAGTAGTTTACACATTGCCAAACCACTGGTACCGTTGGAAAGGAAATCGATGGGGCTACAAAAACCGCGAAGTCACCTACCCTCTTCGACCTATTGGAGCCTTCAAAAATGGGTTCAAAGTATAAAATGTGAAATATCTCAGAAGAGTGGGTTTTTTTTGACATGTTTTATTACGTCAGAAGATAGCTCATGTCGTGCCGCTTCAGATAGGAAAATAAAATTTCATGTATTCAGTTCGTGTATCTGGCCTTGGCAGGTGAATCATATGTCATTTTCCAGCGTTTTTGTGGAAAAAATGGTGGAAAATGGCCTCTTACGACATTTTGATATGAAATAAAAAGAATTACATTAGTAATCCCGAACTTTTCCGTACCGTTGGCCTGCGTTGTCTGTAGGTTCTTTTGGTTATTTTTTGTGGATTTTCTTGAAATAAAGGCAGCGAAGATATAATAATAAAAATAAAGTGAAAAATCGGTCACTTTAACTAAAACTTCGACAATTTTGTATGAGAGGTACCCGTAAACCAATTCCTATTGGCTTCAAACTTTCTGAGGTTTCATTTTTTCGAGAAAAAACAAGATTCTGAGAGTTTCATGTTGATCCCATTTGCAGAAGTTTGATTTTTTGTCCTCAATTTTTGTCGAAATTTTCTTGGAAAAAATTGAGGGCCAAAAACCAAACTTTTGCACATGCGATCAACATGAAACTTTCAGAATCTTATTTTTTCTCCAAAAAATAAAACCTCAGAAAGTTTGAAGGCAATCAGAATCGATCAACGGGTACCTCCCATACAAAATTGTCCAAAAATCGGTAATTTTAGTCAAAATTTCAAAAATTTTGTATGGGAGGTACCCGTAAATCGATTCCGATTGGTTTCAAACTTCCAGAATCTTATTTTTCTCGCAGAAAATGAAATCTCAGAAAGTTTGAAGCCAATCGGAGTCGATTTACAGGTACCTCCCATACAAAAGTGTCAATTTTTTGAGGTTTTTCTTAGGGCAAGTACCCCAGGATCAAATCGAAAATGGCTCATCTTCGAACTTAAACTAAGTTTTTCAAATACAAAACTTTTGGCGTTTCCAGATTTTGATTATCTCAATTATTTTTTGAGTTATCGTGTTAACACACACCAACGACGACGACGACGACGACGACGGCACACGAACGGAAAAGTGTCTCGAAAAGTGGTTTTCTACGCGTTTCATGAGTTTTTATGATGATCTAAACCAATTTTGCGAAAAAAGTTTTCGGGACCAATTCCTATACTTTCCCTTGACACGTTGTGTACGGAAAAGTAAAAACTGCTATTTTTTCGTCAAAATACATGAAAAAACGAACTTTTTCACATCGGTTTACCTATAAATTTGGTCCGAAACTGACTTTTCTTCATAGAACAAACGAACGGTCGAAATCTGCTTACAAAATCACATTTGTGGCATAGAAAATCCACCTATAATGGGCTGTCATGATTCTATTTCCACGTAATTTTTGACGGAAAATCGATTGAGACTTATTTCATGTCGCGCTGAATTGAGCCAAAAATGGTAAGCAAATTGGTATATTTTCATTCGTTTCGCTGGAAAATAAAAGCCATTCACGATTGAATGCAGAATAGAGAATCTTTGAAGCAAAAAATTGTTTTTATTGCGAGTTGAAAACATCCTCTGAAGCAGGGTCATTTTTCGACCTTTTAGACCCATCAGACAGGATTGAGATAAGTCTCAATCGATTTTCCGTCAAAAATTACGTGGAAATAGAATCATTCAGCCCATTATAGGTGGGTTTTCTATGCCACAAATGTGATTTTGTAAGCAGATTTCGACCATTCGTTTGTTCTATCAAGAAAAGTCAGTTTCGGACCAAATTTATAGGTAAACCGGAATTTTATTTTCCTATCTGAAGCGGCACGACATGAGCTATCTTTTGACGTAATAAAACATGTCAAAAAAAACCCACTCTTCTGAGATATTTCACTTTGAACCCATTTTTGAAGGCTCCAATAGGTCGAAGAGGGCAGGTGACTTCGCGGTTTTTGTAGCCCCATCGATTTCCTTTCCAACGGTACCAGTGGTTTGGCAATGTGTAAACTACTTCACAGTTAGATTTCAGTTGGCGCAAACCTTTTTTTCGATTTTTTCAATTTTTTGCAAAATTTACACTGGGTGAACTCAGTGTAATCAGAAATGTGGGCCACTTACAGACCTAAGATTTTGGTTTTCTCATTTTCTATCGAAAACAATACTCCAAGCCAATTTTCAGCCAATTCGGCGACCCCACATTACAACTCTTCCCTGATTTCGTGTGGAATTGCCGATGTTTCAATCACAAATTGAAGGACAGTTATTTTTTAAAAATGCTATTAAAACAATGAATGGATATAAATCAATGGATTTGTTTAAAACATCGAGTTGTATTTTTTCGATTTGTATATTTGAAAATATTCGAAGGTTTCTTGCGAATTCCGTTTGTGTTCAGGGTTTGTAAGTTGACCACCACATGGTATTCGACTCCACTTTTTATGGAAATTTTCATTTTGATTCAATTTTTGATGAAAAGGTCCATTTGAGACCATTTCTATAATCCAATGCCAATTCCAAGCATTTAGTGTTTTAGCAAAAATTTATGATGCATTTTGCAGTTATCATAAAATGTAATTTGACCACCTATTAGATTTGCAGATTGAACACCCATCATTTGAACACCCAAGTGAAAAGTATTTTCATCGCATTTCATAAGAATTTCTTGCGATTTTTTTATATTCGAAATATATCATACATAATATCGAACAGGTAGCAACTTTTATCGAAAATATTTGAAATTGCTTTAATTTGTGCGCGTTCAAAGCCAATGAAACAAATCAAAAAACTTTATCAAATTATAAAATATAACTCAATGTTTCTTAAATCGTCATAGACTCTGCAGGAGGTGGTCAACTACAAGTTTTATTTTATTTTATTTTATTTTATTTTAATAAACACCGCCAAGCTCTGGCTGAATATAATGTGGGTTTTTGATTAAGGTTTGGCCGGAAAAGAGTGCAAGACTGTTACACATTTAAAATAATAAACATTTAGTAGCGATAATTTTTCATAGCTATCAGTTCTCGCCTCGTTAAAAACCTGGCTCTTTTCATACATCATGCGGTATTCACAATAGTAGGAACATGAAAACGAAAAAACAGTCATACAACCAAGATGGAAATGCTTGATATTAGTCTATGGCAAACGGTCCATGATAACCTTTGGTAAACGTTTCCAAAGGAACAAAGGCTATGTGAAGCGTTTAATTACACGTTTAATTTGAGACCCTAGGACAGCAAAAGTCGTCGCTCAATTTATACCGGTGGATAAATTGACGAGAAGTTTTACGTCTTAAAGGCAGAATGCAGTTTGAAGCTTAAAATTGTTATATGTACCTAATTTCATGGTACTTCAATGATCGGATCGACCTAAATAAAATAATTTCCCACCAAATCGAATGAGATACTTTGTACAACATCAAAATTCCGCCCAACATCAAAATTTGAAGAGCAAAAAAAAGGTCATCACTTTTCAAACTCAATTCTATCTAGTGCAAACTCCAATTTTACCAATTTTGCCGCCCTCGAAAAAATGCCGCCCGAAACAATTGCTTCGCCAGCGTCGTGCTTTGCACGCTACCGTTTGTAAGCTCACTATTCATATGCGATTTACTCAATCATACAGTACATGTAAATAAATGAACGGTTAAAAATTCGAAAAGTAAATTTGGATATTTGGTAAAAATATGGCTTAACTTCTTTTTGAGTGTAATATAATGAATGATGAAATAATGGAATGATTTGGTTTTTGAAAGCCCCTGTTGGTAGTTTTGAATTTGCAGTTGACGTCGAGAACGGAAGATCTGAACAATTTAAATTAATCTTTGTAGAACATTAACATAACATAATCAGTTTTTAATTATAAAAATATAGGTCAAATGTAATACAGAAAAGTTGCGCGGAAAAATGTCGATGATGAATGAGCGGATATATACATAACTGTATAGTAAACTCTAGTGAACTATACAGCTATCTCTTTTCATTTGAAATTTTTCCACACAACTTTTATGTGTTACATTTTCGCTCCAAACTACTCATATCACCAGTCAATGACAGATAGCTGAGGATATATGCTGAGCATAGAAACTCAGTAAGCTGAGATTGGGACATTTTGACTTTATGACGTGTAGTCCATACAAAATTTATGATGGTACGCATACGATTTCGTGCATTTCATCATGCATTTATATGGAATACACGTCATAAAGTCAAAATGAACCCGTGAGCATAAAAACAACGTATTGACTCTTCGCCGATGAATACGAAACGCAAAAAAATCGCCGAACAAAGTGAAACACCAATCTGTTATTGGATCAATATGAAGCATGAAATCGTTGGCTACTAATTTATTCACGTTGCGCTTTGTTTCGAAGCGCGGCAAGTGTTTCATTTTGTTCCAGTAACAGAACGTTGTATCACTTTGTTCGGCGACGCGCTCAATGTACTGTTTTGGAAAAATATGCATGATTTGATACAGTTTTGAGT